AAGCCAAGTCCTCACCTTCTCACATCTATGCTATACTTCTCATAATCTAACAAGAACTTCTTGCAAGTATGTGCAAGTTTCTGGGGTGCACCTTCCTTCATAGTAGCTCTAGAAGCGTCATCACCTCCAGCGGCAGCGCATTTGCAAAGACCCACAAGAGCTCGAACTTTGACATTCTCATCTTCTGATTCGTATAACTTCCTCAAGATGGGAACACCAACCTGAAAAAAGTTTAGTATGACCAAAGGAAAATTCTATCTACATCTCACCTTCAATATAGAAGTCGCTCTTTCGTGTTTGACAACGGTCATCACAATCAGCTCAGCGGCGACGCTCTTAAAAGCGCACATGTTTAGAAAATTCACCAATGATAATTCAAGAAATTGAAAGCAGACCTGCATCAGAAGATTAGAAGACGCAGCCATTTGAAGCATCAGCGCTGTAACTTGATCATTTGTTACCAAGTTTATGCCGATATCAACAGGACCCTATAACCTATGTTTTTGAAATGGAACTACAACAGCATCTTTAAAGGTGCACCTGTAGCATAGTGATAAGGAAACAGGCAAGCTTTATGCGAATTTTATGCCCTTCTGGATCATCACTTGCCCTTGCCATTAGATTACTAAAAAAAGAATACTCCAGAGTCGGCCATCATTATAAAAAGATATAGACTAACTTGAAAAAATGATCGACTTTTTCTTTGTAAATCAACCTCTTGGTATCGAAAACCTGAATGAGTAAGATTAAGAAAAAAAAAAGAATCAATGAAGCAGCTGTGAAAATAAGTGTAAATATATGAAAGTTTCATCAAAATGGAAACTAACTGTTCCGTCATGTATATTCAAAGCTAATCTAGCTAAAGGGTTGTGTTGTAAGATATGGAGATTGGGGACAAGTAAAGTGATTCGTGAACTAAGAAGCTAAATTGGTTTAGCTCACCATATCCTCATCAAGGCGCTGGAGGCAGATAGCCACATGCTGTCTGGTCTCATGTGTAACAGGATAGTCACATTGTTCCGGAATTTGTGATGATACATCCAAAAGCGCCGAAAGACCTTGAAAAACGCTTCCTTGCTGACTTGCCCATGACAACAACCATTTCTCCCTACTCCAAACAGACCTGAATCCTCGGTGAATTTCCAAGACCATCCACGAGGTATTCCTCCATCCATATGCATAAGGTTCTTCAGCAATAAATCAATTACCATCTCTCTCACCTGAAAGCAGATGTGCGAGATAATTTAGATCACACTCGAATCTGAACTTACAATGGCAGAAACAGATTTGTCAGTCAACATCTCCTCAAGCTCAAGAATGACACGAATAATCCACAATTTATTGGCTGAAATTGCATATATGTGCTCTTTCTTTTAGTAAATGGGCACACTAAATTCTAGTTATGTCCATTTTCAGTTAAATTAGTATAAAAACGTTTCCGAGCTCCGTTTACGGAAGAACAGTTTTTAAGCAGAAAGTTTTGCTTTTCATGCTTTGCCTTTAAAGAGCGGCATGCTGTTACTGTCAATAAGATGGATAAGAAGAAGCGTTATAAGAGTACAGATAGCTAGGTAGGAGTAACACTTTGTGAGTTAGAGAGCAGAAGCAGTTAACTGAATGCCTTGGTAGCGCTATCAACGGATTTCAACTAACGCCACTCGCTTGGGAAAACTGTTCGGAAACAGTCTGCGATAAATTTACCTTCTGCAACCTCTGGATCGGGTTTGATATCTTTAGTGCGATCCATTTTTACAAGAGCGTTGAATATCCTTTGCACTATCAGACCAGCTGCATCTACGTATTCTTTAGAATTTCTTGAACACATTAGACGACAAACGCGCCTCGCCGAATGCATGCCATCGCTGTGATGCATTGACAAGAAGTATAATGCCTGAATTCTTTTCAAGAATTAAATCTTAATCGTTCCGGTAGGAGCTAACTCACTCGTCCATGATTCTTAATCGTTTCATCCAAAATCCTAATTGCAGCCACAGAAATCTCCATTGGTTCATTGTTATCCTCAGCTACTGACAGTAACATTGGAACTCCTTTACCCTGTACAAAATGTCCTACATTATATCTTGAGGGCAACAGAGAGAGTTTTAGAACCAGAAATAAAAACTTACCAAATTCCATATTCTTGCTGCACCTGCTTCGGTTTCTCTCGCAAGAACGAGCAAGTTGTTGAATGCCTAAAGATGTGAGGTGAATATGGAATTTTTCAGGTTAATGATGCAACTCTAGAGAGACTTCGTGCAAGAAGTGGACTCACTCCTACCTGTATTTTCTGTTCCTTATCCTTTGCGCTACCCTCAAAGGCCAAGCTGCTCATATTCTTGACCTTGTTGTCCATACTGGTAGCCTTTTTCACCTTCTCATTATTGGCGATAACAAGCCGCTGCAGTAAATCGGAGATTGACCTGTATTTTAAGGGAAGGATACGAGAAAGTGAAATTTGAGTTGATTTTGGCTTACTTGTCTTTGGGGCTGAGTCTGAGGGCTTCCTTAGCATCTTTGAAGGCAGCTGCAACATTGTCCAGCTGTTCACGAGCGAGGGCTCGTCGATATAAAGCTTTGACATCGGCTCCATCGTATTCCAGAGCTGGAAGATGAAAAAGAAATTGAAGAAGGAACATGCAAAAAAGAAATGATTTTACCCCACCTTTTGTGCTATCACTCTCCGTTCCTTCAAAATCATCTTGTTTCAATCGAGTTAAAGCACGATTTCGATAGAGCGCTGCCCTCAGAGCTTTTTCATCTTCACTTGTCAATTGCAACGCTTCCGTATAACAAAAACACTACCAATCTTGATAGTCAAAAGAAGAAAGCTGCAAAAAGCGAACGAAACTCACTAATCACAAGCTTCTGTCCA